ACAAAAACTTGACATGGTGCCTGAGATTTGTCTTCCAGTGATTCTTTTTTCATAGGTTCACCTTATTTGAAATTTGGTCATGCTTAATAGGCACATGTGACACTCATTATATATGACAGAAAATAAGGAAAATCACAACAGGCCCCCTGTTAAAAAGTGTTTCTTTCTTGTCTCCCAGCTATGTTTAATAAGATCTTGTTTGAAATAAGCATGTAATGCAGGATGCAGTGCCGGATAAAATTACATGTTATAAAACTCTATTATATTGAGAATTAACATCTGGCTGCAAGAAAGTGCACAGATATTAATTTTTGGAATCACTGGAAAACTTTTACTATTTACATGAATGGCCTGCATGTTGCAAAGTATCCTTCGTGGTTTCTCGGATTATTTGGAGTAGAGTGGTAAAATTTTGCAATGGTCTTGTGATTGTGTTTTTTCTTCTTCAGCTTCACTTGTTGTGACACATTTTGGATATTAAACTTTATAAGTTTTCAAAAGTTCAAGTTAGTCCATCGTCCATTGTCTTGACTCCCTTTGATTTTTGTTTGGGTTGTCAAAGTTAATCTAACTCACAAGTTACAAGTGTAAAAAAAAAAGAAAAAGGGGAAGAGGTGAGGGTTCGGACCAGTTATCAACAAAGGGTGAGGCCGTAGAACTGCTATGGCACTATACAAATAAACGTGGACTACTTCCAGCGGCAGAGGGATGAGGTGAGGTGGACGGAGTTCGTAAGGAAACTAGAGGACATGACATTTCCTGCTGTGTTCCACAAAGGCAAACAGATGGTGAGTATAAATATTCATATTTGATAGAGCCTTTGTATATGTGTCGTTAGATGATCAAATAGTTTTTGCCTTGATAAAGCACTGGTGTCTAGATATGTTAGTGTAGGTGTTTATTTAGAATATACAATCAATGTGTGTAATGTCAACTTGAACAAAAAAATGTTTGTCTTTAAACTATGGGCTTGTTTATGAGCTAGCGTTATCTAAGTGTTAACTAAATACACAATTAATCAATTCCAGAGCAGACATGAATTTGAGAACCAGTGTCTGTATATAAAGATGGGGGACATGATGACTCCCAATAATAAAGGCAAGACATATTTTTGCCCCCTGGTGGCGGGTTGCAGTATAGGTAATAAACCATGTCCCCTTTTTATAGTAGTTCTTATCGCTCAAATTGTTTTTTTTAAGTTTGGTTTTTAGATAAAAGAAGGATAATTTAACAATCAACATATATTTTGTAGATTTATACAAATACAATGGAAACAAAAGTATAAGGGATTGTTTTTTAATTTAAGTTTCCCTCTCTCTTTGTTTTGCCCAGTGCTGCACTTTCAATTAAAATAAAATAAATCTAAATATAATTCACTAAGTAAAATGACATAAAGAAATTTAATTGAACATTGCAATTTCTTCATTCCTACTGCTATTCATTCTCTATCTTGCTTGACCCCTGCTGCTCTCTCTCTGGCTCTCTCCACACCACAGCTGCTTGCTCACTATCTGGCACCAGTAAATATGAAAAATGAGAGTGTAAAGATGAAACTGAAATTGTAAAAATGCTTTATTTAATTTCCGCTTGCATGTGTGAAAATTCCAAAAAGGATTATTGATCGGTTATTCCATTTCACTTTTTCATTGGCTCTGTGGCCTTGTGATCATGGTTTTATATCTTTGCCATTACAGAAGCAGACTTCTTCAGATGGTCCATCATGTACTGCTGAACAATTAAGGGCCAAATAAAAACCTTTTTGCACCCTCACCTGTTTCTGTGTTTATATGGTCTGCTCAGTCACGCCTGGCTAATGCCTCATTGCCAGGTGTGTTAGAGCTGTACATAGCAGCTGTTTCAGAACGCAGCAGGAGATTGTCCAGGTCAGACACATTCACAGCAACAGGAAAATGTCTGTAACATACCAGCGAAAGGGAAATATCAGCATGCAGAAGGCAATAACATGTGAATTCTGCTGTGGAAATCCCATATTTTTCTCTACAGTACGTGGACATCAGCGTCACTTCTTGTCACCAAAAGCTCTCAAATCGTATCTTCTTTCCAAGTTGACTTCATCGTCAGCTTCTACAGGAAGCTGATCCAGAAAAGGAAAGGATCCAGAAAAGGATCCAGAAAATGTTCAGTGCAACTGACTCAGACATTTTCACATACAGCCCCTCCAGATAATTTCAGGAGAAAGTTCGGGGTTCAGTGCATGTCTGAAAGCAACATTTATGAGAAACAAGCCAGAACAGAAGAACAACTGACTGGAGATGGATAGAAAATATGTTCTTTAGTAATGATAAGACAGAAACCAGTTTTGAATTAACTGTTGATAGGTAATTTTTTATAGAGTGATACTATTGTACATGTTTCTTTTAAGTTCTTTAAACGTCTGCACAAATTGTTACTGGTCAGTTTGAACTCTTTCCAAAGTCAGTTTGTTGTCCATATCCTGACCACAACTGTATCACATGTTCTTTTTATTACATTACATTTCATTTAGGTGACCCTTTATCCAAAGCGACTTACAATAAGTGCATTAAACCATGAGGGTGCAAACCCAGAACAGCATGAATCATGTAATTACATTAGCTTTAAATAATGCAAAAGTGCAATATATAAGTGCAAGTAAACTTTTTTTAAATGTATTTATTTTATGTAAACACCAGAGTTGACGACTGACATCATCTTCTTAACCAAGGTGTAGTCGGAAGAGATGTGTGGACTGATGTCAATTGGGAACTTGTTCCACCATTTGGGAGCCAGGACAGCAAACAGTTATTAGAATTATGTAAATTAGGATTAAGTCTATCTATTGGTTTTAGAATCATAGTGAAACCCCAGATGTGAAGGAAATTCATTTTGGACTCCTGATCAGACCTGAGGGTGTCCTGCATGATGCTTTTCCATCTTAAGTCTTCAACATGGCTGAGGTGGTGGACATTATGCCATTATTACCTGACATAAGTACTTGAAATGGAATTTAGTATGAATATGTTTGAACTTGAAAGTGTGACTGCATAGTTATGTCATGATGATGTCATTCCTACCATATGATCATAGATTTGTAATCTATTTAACCTTTTGGTCAAGTCTATAGTCCTATAGGGTTCAGACATGCCTCAACAGATGCTTTTTTTTTAACTGTGCATGTCATTTCCTCACTTTATTCATTATGTCACGTATCATATGATGGGGAATAATTTTTGGATCAATATAAGCTTTAGATTGTGTCTGTAGCCCAATTATTTAAGGTGAAAATAGGTTTTTCGGACCGTATCATTGTTGACCTTTGACTTTTTACTGATCTGCTCCAAAAGTTAATCGTATATACTCTGCCTTGCACACACACACACACACAAAATACACACACACACACACACAAAATACACACACACACACACACACAAAATACACACACACACACACACACAAAATACACACACACACACACACACAAAATACACACACACACAAACAAAAAATCCAGATTTACTACTGTGTTATGTAAGCGAAGTTATAATTCTGTTATATACACTTAGTTGCAGAAGTACATTTGGGTAAAAAGTTCCAAAAACATAAATTATTAAATTCTAAATTGGACACATGTTTTAAGGTTAAGGTAACGTAGGGTTCAGGTTAGAATTAGGGAAGTATAGTCAATATGGTTAAGGTTATAAGTCTCCATGAATCAATGTAAGTTTTCCACTCCGCTACATTTGAAGACAACGTGTGTCCCTGTCTCTACCTCAGTTGTCATGCAGTGACCACAGACTCTTTCCCCTGTTGGTAGCCAGGACTTGTGTCATCCTTCCTTTATGGTTAGACTGTGGTCATGAGTCTGTATGTGGTCCAGATCTGTGTCTGTTCCATATCTCTGACAGTAAAGAGACGCCAATTTATATTCATGGTTTAGGGACAGATGGCAATTAAGTTTGTTTTGCGTTTGGTTTTGATTTAGTGATGGAGATCGGCATCTTTTGAAAATATAATATCAAGGTTTCCTCTGATTAGTGGTTGGAAAGCAATGTTGGTCTGAGGTTGAACAGCACTAGTGATATTTGATCAGTAAGTCTAAGCACCAGCTCACAGAGGAGACTCTCTGGGGGGTTCAGTTTCTGGATCTGGAGTGTCTGAGCTCTCAGTGGGCCTCAATATGAGATGTAGCCAAATCATTCTTGTTGATATCCAGTGAGTGGATAAATACCTAATTCTACCCTGGGGGTAATGTTTGCTTTTTTGGAACGCTTAATATAGACCTAATTTCTAGTTCCATCTGGGTGTAATCCTGACTGAGTGGACCACAGACTTAACCACCATGACGGGCCACTGGTTGGATCACACTGTGAAATATTTTAGTCCAATTTCCAATTGTTTGGAATTCCAGTTGTCCAAATGTTTAGACGGTTA